GCTTTTTTTCTGTTTCCATGAGTAATTAAAACTTTAATTTTATGACTATCATTTGACATGTAACAAGGGTAGTGGTATGCTGTAAAATTCAATTTCATGGCAAATCCTGTTGCATTTGCTGTTCAAGAGACATCTAATTTTTTAAATCTTGACTTTACCTAACTTTTTAAGAACTTATGTGCAGCTCAGGTGAATCCCAAGATACCTGCTTGCTATTTCTAAATGTGAAATGAAAATGAAGCAAATTACATTTGGATACAAATATAATTATTTTAATTAAAATATATGTTTTGCCAAAAAATCAATTTAATGGTTCATTTAAACATACCATTATTATGAAACAGCTGCAAGTTTTACCATTACCCAAAATTTGCTGCTGTCTAAAAAAATTAAATTTAAATTGAAAATATTTATGAAGTGCTGTGATGGGATATCTAAGCTAAGCTCAGTAGGTTTACTGTGGACATCTAAATCAATTCATCAATCATTGCATTACACGAACAGTACTATCCAGTGAAATACTTAATAAATTAAGTAATATCATTTAAAGATAACTATATTCCCTGTAACTGTCATTTATTATCATATCTATTTTAGAATTACATATTTTATGGATTTTTAGCTCACAGTTTATTGCATTATTTAGCACAAATATGAGAAGCTTTAAAGTGGACCCTAACTCAAGCAAAATAATTCTTCAAACAGTATGGGACAAGTTAGTTATGAAAAACATAGCAAAATTGGAAATTGATGTGCCACACCATTACTATTAGGTCCAGATACAAGAATGTGCCAATAAAGGTCAAGGGGTACACTCCAAAAAGTACCCAACGCATTTCAGGGGTGCAAGAAAGTCCCCTTCATCAGAGCTAGAAAAAACCTAAACCTTCATTTTTCTAAAATAACAAACATGTTATACGTTCCTGCTCTGTGCAATAGTTTTGCACAAAACAACCCCCAACCTCCACTTCTGGTGGCCCCAGCTCTAGGCGCTGGACTGAATTAGGACTGGGAATGCATTAAAGATTTAAAAAATGTCTTACCTTTAGAACTATTTTACAATCAAATACCCAATGGCCAATAGTATTGGAAGTATAAAAATTAAAGTCTGGTTACATTGGGGTTTATTTACTAAAGCTGGAAAGTCCAAAATCAGACTCCCTTCTGCATAGTAACCAATCAGCTTCTAACCTCAGCTTGTTCAATGAAGCTTTGGCAATGAAACCTGGAAGCTGATTGGTTTCTATGCAGAAGTGAATCTGATTTTGCACTCTCCAGCTTTAGTAAATAAACCCCATTGAGTCAACATACAAGAACCTTTTATATAAAAAGAAAAGTAGAAAAAATAAAAAAAAATAATTCTGATTTGGACCTAGTGAGCATAAGTAAATAAAAATTAGCAAAATACAGTATATCCAAAAAAGTATATGCTTATAACTTGAGCTAAACACTGCACAGTCAGTCCAAGTGTACAATTCCTGAAAAATCCCTTTCAGCCTTACCAACATCATGCAGTATGAGGATAAACCCAAGCACAGCAAACATTATTTGGGCAGCACAGTGGCTAAGTGGTTAGTCCTTCTGTCTTGCAGCACTAGGATTGTTGGTTTGAATCCTACCTGACTGCAGTTCGCATGTTCTCCCTGTGCCTGTGTGGATTTCCTCTGGGTACTCCAGTTCCCCCCACATTCCAAAGACATCCTGGTAGGTTAATTGGATCCTGTCTATGTCTGGGCCTGTATGTATGAATGTGAGTTAGGGACCTTGGATTGTATGCTCCTAGAGGGTTAGGGACTGATGTGAATGTACAATATATATGTAAAGTGCTGTGTGAATTTATAGCGCTATATAAGCACCTGTAATAATAATAATAATAATAATAATAATAATAATACATTAGTGGTGGCTCCAACAGAGATAGTACAATCCAAGTGTACTGTGTGTGCCGTCAAGAAGGTGATCAAAGATTGTATAATGACTTTTCGGTATTTTCTTGCTGCTTAACTGATTAGTGTACATTGGTGGATGCAGCCAGACCTCTCCAACATTTCTATTGTCTTGGAAGCTGCATTTCTACAATCCTCGGAAGCTCTACAATTTCTAGTGTTTAGGGGCCCCAGGTCACTACATAATCTCACCCCATCTATGCGTACCACCCTGCGGGCCTGGGAGGCTGGGCTTAGATTGGAATCTCTCCACCCTAGATCTTGCTCCCCGCATACCCCGTTGTGGTTAAATCCTTCTCTTCTTCATTTCGCCTCTCTTCCGGACCCCCAATTATGGGTTAAGTACCATATTAAAACCTTGGAGTACATCATGGGTTATGGCGAACTCCTTTCTTTTTCCCACTCTTCAAGCTAAATTTAATTTGCCCCCGCATTCCTTCAGATACCTTCAGGTCTCCCATGCCTTTAGAGGTCAGTTCCCTGTTCGACCTCTCTCCCTTTCCTATTCTGAGTTGGAGTCTGTCCTTCGTGTACCACACATGAAAAAGCCCCGATTGGTATTATACCGATATCTTATTGTGGCGGCCACCCTGAATTGGTATCTTTACGTCTGAAGTGGAGGACAAATATTCCTAATTTGGATGATGATGATTGGTCTGATATATGGGAATATCCTTTCTCTCCCCTAGTTTCTGCCAGAGATAAACTGATTAAATGTAAAATTTTACACTGGGCTTACTTTGCCCCGTGTCGGTTATAGAATGAACCCCTCTTTTTCTCCAGTATGCTGGTGTTGTACTCATGAAGACGGAGATTTTTTTCATATCTTTTGGACCTGTCCCACTATTATGTCTTTTTGGCAGGCAGTATTAAATACAATTGAATTAGTACATATTTGTGTTCCCCTTGACCCAAAATTCTGTTTATTGGGGCTCGTAGAATCGCTGGCTCCCGCTGTTGCCAAGCGCACCTTATTAAAATCTTGTTGTTTTATGCTCGTAAAAACAATCACTCTAAACTGAAAAAAAAAAAACGTCTCCCCCTGCCATGACCTATTGGAAATGTCTGGTGAATTCAAATTTACCCCTTTATCAGACTGCCTATTCTATCAGAGGATGCCCCCACAAACTTTATAAAATTTGGTCATGTTGGCTTGATGATACTTCAACCACCACTGTGGCAGCTGATATGGGGAATTGATTAACAGATAGTCACCCAGGTGCTTTGTTTTTTCTGTTGTTAGCTGGATTCCCTTTTATATTTTATCGTCCTGTTATATTGTCTATAAATGATTAGGCCTTGAATATTATGTGTGTCCCCCCCCCTTTTTTTTTGTTTTTCTTCCTTGGGTTGTTTTGAACCATTGTTGTTTTATGTACACTCTGTTGGGCTTTGACTGTGCCCCTGCGTGGGCGTCTGTTGTCTGTATGTTTTTATATATTTAAAATAAAAAAAGATTAAAAAAAAAAGAAAATAATGTATAATCACGGGCTATTCAATACACCATGCAGTAAAGCATGCTGCTAGTCTTTGCATTGTATATTACCACCAGTATTGTAGTTGTGTGACTCCCAGTGAAATATGCAACTGAATGTTGTAAGTGGTGGAGCAAAGCTCCTGATCATCCTGCCTAAATACAGCTGTTCAATTAAATGGATTCTGATGGTTTTACAGAGTTTTAGATCTAGATCAGCAAGAGACCCAGATACAATAAGGGAATAAATATAATGATTTCTGATTATTTTATAAGATAAAAATCCTGTCCAGGTCCACATAGCAGTGGTGATGGTGTCCAGGTGAGATCTGTTGATTTGTTGTATTAAGAGGAAATCTCCCAGTAGTAAAGTACTTAAGGTGATCCAGAAGGGTCACTCTATATACTTAGCCATAATGAGGGGACCATTCTGTCTTGGGTTTTAAGGGTTTAGAAAGATATTTCACTGATATGTGCTCTTACTGTATGTTATCACAGATAAAGTTGTCTATAAGCCTCTGTAGGTTCCTGAGGTATGTTGATAGAATTAGTATAGGAAGTGAGGGAAAGAGGTATAATATATGAGGTAATATAAAAATTGTAAGTAAGATTTTCCTGCCTGCCCATTTCACAGATCTTTATACAATATGGAGTCTTTATCAAGAAATGTAGTGTAATTGGCAATGAAAAGGTTATATCCAGGGTATATACGGTTTACCTTGGTACGTTTAAGTCACCTGTCACACCGCTACGATTTAAAATTGCGTGATTTGTGTGGGATTTCAGGTGTGATTTCTGAAGACTTTATTGCTACTTGTAAAGATGATTTTCAATGATTTCTTGCAAATTGCAGTGTGATTTCCATTATATTCTATGTATGTGAAATCACAACAAAACTGCAGAAGTAGTGCAAGAACTGCTTTAGAAATTGTGCTGCAGCAAATCACACATTAAGACACTGACATTGACATTAATTAGATGCGATTTCAGGTGAGATTTCAATTCCCAAATTGCACTTGAAATTGCACCTGTATAACCAGGCACTTAACCTCCCTGGCGGTATGATTATTTCAGATTTTTGGTGCTGAAAGCGGTACCATTATTTTGCATGGAAATTTGGCGTTTTATATTGTAGGCCTGTAATTCTTAGGAATAACTCACTGAAATCTGTCCGAACAAGAGTCTAGTAAACATCCCAGGTAGGATAAAACTTGAAACACAAAATCATAAATTATAATTTAATAAATAATCATAAAAAATAATAATATAATAATAAATTTAATTCAATTCAATAAAATAATCAAACCAAAAACACTGAAATTTGAAATATAGCACCAAGTTCGCACATCACTGAGCAAAGTCGCAAAATCGTTTTCAGTGTCTGATGACGAATTTCCCCATGAATCATTATCACTCAATTCTGCAAGTGGTTCTGATTTACTATTGCTGTTCTCTAGCTGGTCTAAAACCGCTTTTGACCTAAAGGGACGCTTTTTGGACACCATGGATGTTTCTCAGTTTTCAGGCAATAAAAACAGTAAAAATGCAGGCAGGGCACAGGACAAAGCACTAGGGACAAAATGTATGTGAAATGGTTTGATACAGTAATGTTTTACTATGTGATTTTAGTGTATTTAGTGAATGTCACTTTTTGTCATTTTCAAATTTCCCGCCGTTCCGTCTCCCGTATGTCACGAGTCGACGCTCGCAGGGGACGGAAACCAGAAGACAGATGCCGGATTACATTGCTGGGGACACTGCAGGAGGGACATCGCGGGAGCGCAAGGTAAGTGATCGAGGGATCGCGGAGCAGCGCCACATGGTATTCCCGAGTGTAGCTCGGGGTTACCGCTTGCGGTACTGAAACTTTACCCCGAGCTACACTCGGGAATACCGCCAGGGAGGCTATGAAAGGTGCTCCAGAGAGGGGGGAGACACAGGAAATATCTCATTTGATTTGAGATGAGATGTGCATGGGAAATATAAATTATTTTGATTTGTTTATTTTGTATAAGGAGAGCTTCCCCAAACTGTGTATGAAAACCTTGGAAGAGAATTTATAGGGTTAGTTATAGAAATGAATCTATAATCTGCATAAAGACCTATTTTATACTCAATTCCGCCTACCATCAGTGCAGAGAGCCAAGTTTATACAAATGGATTCAGCTAGGGGTAAAATTATTATTGCAAATATAAAGGGGGATAGCTGGAATCCTTGCCTTGCTCCATTAGTTATATTAAATGGATTAGAAAGTGTACCAGAGTTCCAGACCCATGCACTAGGAGATAGAGTGCTTTAATAACTGATCCAATATGACCAGTAAGAACGAATTTATGACCTCTGTAGCGAATGTTTATCCACGATCAAGAATATCCTACACTATGTCTGTTGCAGTCACAAAAAGGTGTGTATATATATATATATATATATATACACACACACACACAGACACACATACACGAGGGGCATTCACGTCAAACCGGGTTTGAGTGTGTATAATAAAAGAACATATTTCAAGGAGTGGAAAGCATTTATTTTTCAACATACTCCCCTGCTACATTTATACACTTACCCCATAGTGATGTGCCGAACACCCCCATGTTTGTTCACGGCTGAAAGTTGAAACCTTATGAATGTTCGACTGCGAACTTCAAACTCAATGCAGGTCTATAGGACGCCAACTTTCAATTCAGAAGTGCCCATTTTGAAGGCTTATATGCAAGTTATTGGCCATAAAAGGGGTATGGGGACTCGGGAACTGCCCTGAAGGACATGAATCAGTGGAAAATAAAAAATCAGAAAGTAACGTTTCAAAAAGTAGCAGTCATTTTTCACTGCTTAACCTCCTTGGCGGTATTCCTGAGTGTAGCTCGGGGTAACATTTCAGTACCAAGAGCGGTAACCCCGAGCTACACTCAGGAATACCATGCGGCACTGCTCCGGCATGTGTTCTTCACTTACCTTACCCTGCGCTCCCACGATGTGTCCCCTGCAGCGTCCCTGGCCATCTCCTCTGGCCGATGCCAGCATCCGGCTTCTGTGTCCTGTCCCTGTGACGTCGGGACGTACGGGCGCCGCCGCCGGCGGCGGGAAATTTCAAAATTTTAAATAACGTCATTTTTTTTTTTTACATTTTTCATAGTAAAACATTGCTGTTTCAACCCATTTCACATACATTTTGTCCCTAGTGCTTTGTCCTGCGCCCCGCCTGCATTTTGTCTGTTCTTTCTGCCTGGAAACTGAGAAACGTCCATGGCGTCCAAAAAGTGTCCCTTTAGGTCCAAAGCGGTTTAGATCAGCTAGAGAACAGCGATAGTAAATCAGAACCACTTGCAGAATTGAGTGATAATGAATTGTGGGGGAAATTCGTCATCAGACACTGAAAACGATTTTGCGACTTTGCTCAGCAATGTGCGAACTTGGCGCTATATTTCAAATTTCAGTGTTTTTGGTTTGATTATATTATTGAATTAAATGTATTATTATTATATTATTATTTTTTATGATTATTTATTAAATTATAATTTATGATTTTGTGTTTCAAATTTTATCATACCCGGGATGTTTAATAGACTCTTGTTCGGACAGATTTCAGTGAGTTATTCCTAAAAATTACAGCCTACAATAAAAAAACTACATATTTCCATGCAAAATAATGGTACCGCTTTCAGCACCAAAAATCTGAAATAATCATACCGCCAGGGAGGTTAAAGTAAAAAAAAATTTAATTAAACATTCCTTAAAATATCATGCCTGGGGGGTCCCCTTAAACTATCTGCAAAGCTGCACATCCATACAATGTATAGAACATGCTGCAGTAGAAATGATATATATATTTTTTTGTAATTTCATTTTTAGAACACAAAAAAAAAAACAGCATGGGGTCCTTCCTCCTAATCCATGCCAGGCCCTTTAGGACTGGTAGGAAGCTTAGGAGAGACCCCACAGTATTTTTTTTTTTTTTTAAAGTACATGGGATCCCCCCTAAATTCCCTTGATCCGAGCACAGGCCTAGGGCAGGGGGTGATCGAGTGCCCCCCCACCCCCGCAGCTTACCAGGCCACAAAGGCCTCTTCCCCACAACCCTGGCCCAGTGGTTGTGAGGGTCTGCGAGCAGGGGGATTCATCAGCATCAGGGTAGTTCTTTAAATAAGGGGACACCCTGATGCTTGTTTCCATTGTTTTAATCCATCCTCAATCATTGCATAAAGCCTTGTCATGATGACGCCAACTCACTGAAATAAACAATAAACCACACCTGCTGACCCATCCGAACCCACTGAGCACTTGCTGTTATATGACAGGTCTGACATTTGCCAGTCAGATGTAAACAAATAGGCGTGGCTAGCGGTGATGTCAACACCATCCTCACTGCTAGCTCCACCAAATTGTTTCAATTAAAGGAATTTTTCAAAGGTCTGGCATCTTTATTTTTTCTAAATGTAATCCTTTAGTGAATGGGTAGGGGTACAAGTATCCCTTATTCATTCACATTGTGGGGGCAGCATCAGGGTGCTACCCAAGTGGCCAAAAATGGCACTAATGGAGACACAGTGGGGGCAGCACTGAGGTTGATGTGTCCATACTGGATTTCATATCTGTGCATGTTCAGCCTCAGGGCCACACGGTAGGTTATGTTGCAGGTGCCATCCGCACCATAACACCTACTGACACTGGGTGGCCCTGCCGCCTGCGTCCTAGCAACAAATGATGATGTATGGTCTGAGCATCCTAGCAACCAATAATGCTGTGCAGCCGGGCTGCCAGCATCTAGACCATCGGAGATGTGGAGGGAGGGGGGCAAAAATGATTGCCTTAGGCAGCACCCCTGGCACTTTCCTGACAATCAGCCTCATGTTTTAAAGTATCAAACTAAAGGAAGGAGCTCACCTTCCACGTACGCCCCAGTATCCCCTGAATCCACAACAGATAGAAGGGATACAAATACAACTTGAAAAATATCTGGAAAATGATGTAGTTGCCAAATGTACTTCACCTGCAAATACTCCTCAATTTCCAGTAAAAAATAAGGGTGAACCAGGACAACCACCTGTATACCGGTTGGTACATGATTTACAGGAGGTGAATAAGTTGATAGAAGAAGATACTCCTATTGTTCCAAACCCGCATACTCTGCTGACTCAAATCCCTCCCACAGCTGCTTATTTTTCTGTTATTGATTTGGCCTATGCATATTTTTATATTCCTATTAGTGCAGAGCGTCAACATTTTTTTGCATTCACTATGGCTGGAAAACAGTCAACATGGAAGAGGCTCCTGCAGGGTATGGTAAGTGCCCCCTAAGAATATAATGCTGCATTGTCCCAAATTCTATCTCAGTGGAAACCAAAGCACAGTGACACTGTCCTACTTCAGTATGTTGATGACTTTCTTTTGTGTTGTAAGGTTCAGTCCACTTGTAAAGAAGAAACAATCAATTTGCTGGTGTTTCTGGCACAGACAAGGAACAAGGCCTCTAATCAGAAACTCCAGTTTTGTCAAGATAAAGTTGTTTTTCTCGGTCATTGCATTTCTGCAGGCAGTAAGCATCTGACAGCCCAGCATGCCCAGCTGATTAAAGACTACCTCTTGCCTAGGATTAGCAGACCGTTGAGAACCTTTCTGGGACTAGTAGGATATTGCAGAGACTGGATTCCCAATGCGTCACAGGTAATGGCTCCACTATGTGCACTTACAGCAGGTGAGAGGTTTTCCTTTGAAAAAAACTCATCAGGAAGCCATGCAACAACTACAATTGCTTCAGCATTGCATTACCTGATTACCATAAAGGTTTCCTCTTCTGCCATGAGCTACATGGTCAGGCATCAGTGGTTCTCACTCAGAAGCATGGGGGTAAGCAAAGGCCTGTGGCCTATGTCATTTGCATGTTAGACTGTTATTAAGGGCTCCCCAAGCTGTGTCAGATCAGTTGCCGCTGCTGCCTTATTGATGGACAAGGTTGCAGACATTGTACTAGGACATAGCCTAATTTTGATGGTCCCGCACTCTGTTAAGGAAATTCTCAACAGGGTCCAAACTAAACATTTGTCTGCTGCCAGGCTCACTAAATATGAGGTGGCAATGCTGACCCCACCTAATCTCACAATTCAAAGGTGCACGCTACTTCCTTGACACACTACATCTTAATCGGACCATAATTGCATGGAACTAGTTGCAGCAGAATCTGCTGGCCTCTCACATGTCACTGATGTGCCTTTGCAAAATCCTGATCTTATCCTGTTTGTTGATGATTCAAGATTTCACACTGAGGATGGTAAACCCCACATGGTATATGCAGTAGTATCTTTGTCTGAGGTTATTTTTCAGGAACCTTTACCACTGACAATGTCTGCTCAGGAGGCTGAACTCTGCGCCCTTACAAAAGCCTGTGAATGTGCTGCTGACCAAATGGACAACATCTATGCAGACTCAAGGTATGCCTTTGGGGTTGCACATGATTATGGCCCAATACTGAAATCAAGAATTTCCCTACCTCAGCAGGTAAGCCCATAAAACATTCCCAACTTGTCCAGGGCCTACTGGCAGCCCTTTTGCTATCAAAACATGTGGGAATTATAACATTTCAAGCACATACCAAGGATACCTCGGAAGAAACAAAAGGGAATGCTTGTGAAGACAAAGCAGCAAAACAAGCTGCTTTGTTAGATGTCATAAACATTTCTTTGCACACAGTGTGCCTCTCACAAACACCAATTTCTCTGGATGTTTTGACAAAATTGAAGGCCCAGGTATCCTCCCAAGAGAAGAATGCCTGGACCCGACAATTTGTGGAAAGATGAGGTAGGGAAATCATGTCTTTCGCAGGTCCTTTTTCCTATGTTGGTGTCTAAACCACATTCCCAAGCTCATCTTTCCAAGGGGGATATGCAAGATGCTATACAAAAAACT